ACACACACACACACACACACACACACACACACACACACACACACACACACACACACACACACACTAACTGGTTGTCTCGGTCAGCTGGAATAAATAACCTCATGGTCCAGTACTGCTGGAGCTTTTGTTCCATTGGAAACACCTCAGATCACCATAGTAAACCGATAGACGCGTGAAAATGTAATCTCTGTTTTTATGAGTCTTTCGGATGAGATGAACGTCACTTTTACTCAAAGTAGAAGTTATGCACCGTTACAGAAGAAAAACAGTTTAAAACCCTGACAGCCCTTGTGTGCATGGCACATTTATCCGAATTCGTTTCGGACACAAATACTTTCCATGTCGAGATCCGGGAAAATATCCTCCTCCCAAGTGAGCCTCTTTCACGCATTCATTCGGCATGATTAGGCCGATTGTTTTTTCACCCGTCAGTCGCGTTGGTTACCAAACTTCGTTTGTGCAAGCTCATCTGTTCTTTTGTCGGCCAAAATGATCCGTTGACCACACACACACACACACACACACACATTTCACGCCACGAATCTGGACTGCTGACCGACGGTAACACGTGGCACCTAGGGCACTGATGTCTGTTTTACAGATGACGTGTGTTGAGCGAGGGTTGGCAACCGGTAATCTGTCTGAGCCGACATTCTGCTTAAGTCTCACAGTTGTTGCAGTGGCTTAGTGACCTCATACTGTCAAAGGGGTTGCCAGGTTGTAGAGGAAAGTGTCGACTGGGTTAACACTGGATGCGATTTCTTGATTGAGGTGAGGGGAGGAAGTGGGGAACAGTCTAAGACAGCGATTAAGTGTGACTTTCAGCGTACTGACAATGGTTTCACCTTTTGTTTGTTAATTTGAACGCCAAGATCGCTCGTCAGTGAATGTCGGCAAACAGCACTTAGGTATCATGCTGGTTTCAATGGGAGGCGATCCGGACCCCGTGGTTCCCGGGTGTAACCAGTGATTGCTGCTTTGTGAAGCTAACTGTTGAGAATCAATGGTAGAACTGGGTCATGCACCGGATTGATCCAGCACAAAAATTCCTGTTTCTGGAAAGAAATTTGTTTTTGGTGGCAACATTTGAAATGAAATGACACAAATCGGTTTTTAAGAACAAATTTAATAAAAATTTCCACTTTATTAGGCAACGGCATTCATATTTCTGGCTTACAACTGAAAGAGATTTAATACAGTGAACGTCACAATAGCCTTGTTTGCATCACCGAGTGACCATTGGATAGATAGCTCTTTCAGAGCCAGTCCAATGAGGAATCAATGCTATGATTCGGTGTTTTGTAAGTGATGCTATCAAAACTAACTAACTAACTTAGATGCTACTAACCGCAACAAACGTGACCTGATGGTCTTGGAAGAATATTTGATAATAAGTAATATGTGAATGACTGAACAAAATTTCTCCTGGAAGCACAGACCGGTTTCGCGGTTCTTGCTGCTCGTCAGGCATCCGTATCCGGTAATCTTTTGTCAGTTCATTCATATACTTGTACCCAGGAAGTGTATTTTCGTCCAGTCATTCACATACTACTTATTAATTAATTAATAATTATGATATATATATATATATCTCATATAGGAATTCGTCGTGTATAGAGCGAATGAAGCGTGAACTAACAGTTGGGTCGATGGATTCGTACTGCTGATGAGACCCAACCAGATCGAAACAGCTGTCCAGTGCTTCCTAGCTTATCAGTTCACTCTTCGTTTGCTCTATACACGACGAATTTTGAAATTGAATCAAATCCTACACTCTTCTCATACATATATAATTGAATAGAATGTTATTATTTTTCAAAACATGTACAGGATACATCTAAATTCAAGCCTTTGAATACCAAACGACGAGTGGTTTTATTTCAACAGTCGTTTTTCTCCTCTCCTTAGAAGTTTTACACATGTATGCAGATACACCACACTCAGGGACATGACGGAGGGGCCTCGATATATAAAAATGTGAAATTAGACCCCTATGTATAAAATTATTTTTCATCTATAAATAGTACTGCATGAAGGCAGATTAGCTGTCGTCCGGTTCACCATCCGGTCTGAAATATTGTGGTTTTATACGGTTTACCATTTCAAGTCCCAGGAATTGGGATGTCGACCATTGTAACTATACAGTGGAGTTTATTAACTATGAGATTCACTCCC